GGTCATTCCTCGGACTCTTGATGAGCTAGCGTTTAAGGGATTTGCGCGCTGTGTCATATGCGGCATCGGGGGGAAGGGTTTTGTGGGCGTCCAGCAGAACAGTCGAGGTCGATGAGATCCATCGTTTATGTTTTGAGCCTGCGTGAGGGTTTGACGAGGAGAAAACATGTGGAAAGAAAGCATTCTCCTGTGCGGCAAGCGGACCTGCACACCACAAATGGACTCCGGCTTCGTCATCACAACGATCCACAGCAGTATGATGATAGCGTGCATATGCTCCTATTAAAAAACTATCATTCCTTATCTGGTGAGTATTTGAATCAATGGCACTTCTCATTATTGCTAACCTTACAGACAGCACATTTCGTTTGTTTCGCCTAGTTTAGCTATTTGTTTCCTTGCCCTATAGTAAGTTGTGAATCAGGATGAAAATTCATCCATCATGACAGTGATTAAGAAAACAAATGAACCGAAACTAATGAGACTAAGGGAAGAGCGTTAAAGGATCAGGATAGAACCGCTAGCTAGATTTTGTATTCTGAACCTTGTGTGTATGTTCAACTGTTCAAATTATTATTAGATTGATAAAAGATGCTCATGTTACCACAAAGTAAGCATAGGGATTAATAATTAGGAGGCTTCATCCCCGTGGATTAAGAAACGGAGTCCAAGATTGGAGTGTGGAAACACCGGGGCTATGACCGGATTGACAGATCAAGGGCAACTATCTCGGTCAAGCCATCGCCGATTGTCGTATATGAACTGATTTGGTGCATAATGGAAATGCGGTCCATGGTTTGATTGGCCGATGGGGTGTTTGAGGCGCTCTGAAAGTGGAAACCACATCCGAAGGACACATGATCCGATTGACTAGATGGGGTTCCTTAGTGGATTACGGACATAAAGCGATACCCCAGTGTTTTGTAGTTTCTGTAGAAGGTTCGGGGTGACGTCTCTCAAATCGAACCACGAATGTGATGGGACTAACAAACAAGATAACCCACAACAATGAATTTACCATGAAAACGAACACAAAGCATCAATTACTGAAGGCTGATCTCGACTCGCCTTACGTTAGATGCCGCTCATTTCCTGATATATACATCTATGCATCAAATACAATGGAAAAGTGACAGGAAATTGAATCTATTGCTTACATTCATAGGATTGGGGCAACCATCGGACGTATTCACGCTTCGTTTCGTTTGGTTATTTCGACATGTGACGGTGGCTTCCGGCGAACCAGTAGACAATGGACTCCTCAACGGGTCTGAATGCACATGATGGTGATGATGATTACGGTGGTGATGATGATGATGATGATGCCGTTTACGAAAGAAAAATATCTTTTCCGGAATAAGGTTGGGATGGCTCAGTATGCCTTCCTGTTGCACACAACAAACGGAGTTGACTGCACCCATGGTGAGCACGGAACTATCCAGTTCAGCATAGTGAATTTTGTTCAACTTTACGGGGGATATTCAGAAAAACAAGATATATATATAGCATATAGCATAGAATCACTTTCATCCTACTGTATAAAACAAGCTGAATGAAATCATCAATAACACTGTCACGTGGCTAAAGGAGACCTTTGGTATAAGACCGAGCACAATGTGGATGAAACAATACATAACAAAGATAACAAAACCCTACGAAAACAACGAGAGGTTCCACAGTGAACATGTAATCAAAGGTTTCACTGAACTTCCAGTGAAAACCCAGGCGGGCATCAAATTTGAATTCAGTCACTGTTGGGATCAAGAATACACAGAGTGTTCTTAATTAACGGTGATTAAATAACTTCTGCATCGCTTTTATATTGCATTCTTTCTCTCCTTTTTGTATTTTTGTATTTGTATAACTTGTGTAAGCACATATGCTTACGTTTCAGCTTTATGTCGGATAAAGCTTTACGTCTGGGTTTTCCTCGTTCTGGTTTCTCGTGTATTCTGCATCGATTGGACAAATTATTTAATATACAACAGTGAATCGTGTATCGTGCCTCGAACGGTTTGATGTTGAACCTAGCTCACCAGATGTTACCAGACAGAGGAACTATTGATACAGAACTATTCTCAGCCTCCTCTAGTTAGTGGATAATTTAAAACCCAAAAAACTGGATATGATGATTTCTTCTGCTGTCTACGAACGTGTCGTGGAAAGTGAAATCTATGAATTGGCAATGAAGAAGCTCAGTACCCCATACGTGCGTCCCCAAAATGGGGCCTTCGTCTGTCATATCCTCGCCTCAGCCAAACAGAACAGTGGGCAAACTCTCGATCAGTTTATTCAGAAGTTACAGTTCCTAGCAAGAGGTTGCAGTTTCTGATCCAATACGCCCGAGGAAAACCGCGATGATGCTCTCCGAGAAGCATTCATTAGTGGAATTCAATCTAACCAGATCGGACAACAACTACTGGGAAAAAGTTTGCTGAATTTGCAAAAGGCCTTCGATCAAGCGAGGGTCCTATAAATGGCAGAGCAGCTATTCATGTCTTATCAGAACTTTCCCACCGCCTCCCACGCCGCGGCTATACGCGCACCCTAAACCAATTCGCCTTCCCTCCTCCCCCCCCCCCCCCCCNCCCACGAGACCGATAAAATGATCTAACGATAGCATCGTCGACAAGCACCCTCGCTCAACGTGCCCCATGAGAGATAGTTTTTACAAGGATTGTGATAAAAAGGGTCACTTCCAGAGTTTAGCTCTGAGGGCCAACAAAATCATACTACATCTACCGCTTGTCCAT